ACAGAGCAGGCAGGGAACAATGGCTGACAGCATAACACACACACATGGGATGTGGGCCAAAAAACAAGCCCAAAAAAAGATTGGGTTCAAAAGTTATATGTCCTGTTGAGGTGTCCCTAAGCAGGACACTGAACCTAAACCTGCAGGGCCAACATGAAATTAATTTGCCCAGACATCTACACCTGGAGTTGGCAGCCATGCAGTCAACCCCATGCATAAATAATCATTTACAAGTCCAGGCACACTAAATGAAATGAATACTGAACAAAGTGATCACACGCAGTCTCTCTCTACTAACACGCAGACACACTCCTGGCTGGAAATGACCAAGAACCACAGGCAAACACTCTTCTGAGCTGGGGTTTGGACAGTTTTTCAGCTTCTCTAGAGAAAACCCTCATCTGGACTGTGGGTAGCTCACAATTTTCGTTAGGTACAAACAATATTAGCCACTGGACAAAAAAAGAGGTTAGTTTCCTTCGGAGTTATGTATAGGTTAGTCAAGCCAGTAATTGCCACAGTGCTCGCTGAGATCCCAAGTGTGTGGAAGGTTATCAGAGCTCACCAGGACACACTTGATTAATAAGGACATTCTGTCTCTCATGCAAAGAAAAATACTGTACATGTCTCAGTTGAACTCAGATGTTTTGTTTGAGCAAGTAAGTGGGATCAAGAATATAGTATTACAGTTCAGTCCCAACAGATTGTTAATATTACATGATAAACATCTGTGGAGATTCTGCCATAATGTAGTGTTTAGAAATGACGTTGAAACCAACATGTCATCCACTTAAACTTCTTCTTTCTGTTCATTAATGTCAGTCCTAAAATCAGTTGCATTATTGCCAATAACTGGACTGATGTGGTGCAGCAGACTGTGGGGAACTGAGGGAAACATTTAGCTCTGAATACTGCTTTGAAGCTGTAGTAGGAAAAGTTCATGGTCATGTTTAGCAGACGTGCATGGTCACCTTTTTTGTTTAGCCTGTTAGCTTGCTAACATTTATAACAAACAATTAGAACTAAACAACTAAGGCTGATGGGAATGTCATTTCTTAGGAGAATTTTTTTAGTCTACAAGGAATAAACACATGTGTTTTCAATAAGATGGCAATACACACACACACACACAATCAAGACTACCTTCTACCTAAAGCAGGAAGGGGGCTGAACACATACCAGCCTTGAATAAGATGAGACCCGACCTGTTGGTGCACGTCCCCTCTGGAAATATCATAATCTGAAAGAAACAAAGACACATTAAGGTGGACATACACACACACACACACACACACCAAACACACACCACACACACGACACACACATACACACCCACACACCACACACACACACAGCACACGACAGCCACAACACACACACACACACAGGCATCTGGCTCTTACTCATTGTTTTAAATTGTCCGTGATCTGTGTGAACTGTGTGTGTGACTCTGTATTTATGCCATCACCTTACAATTCCCATGTGGTGTGAGCAGAGGTTAGATCACTGTTTCTCTGTGTGTATGTATAGAATGTGTTCATGTATGTTACCTGAGGCCACTCCCCTCCAGATCGGGCTCTCCGCTTGATCTCCTCGACAGTTTTTCTTCTGGAGTCCTGATCCGATCGAAACACAAACACTGGCCTGATGTAGCTGATCAGAGCTGGGACGACGATGATGAAGAGAAAGCGTTTGGATGTATGCCAGAACGAGGGAGAAAACTAAGTTAATCTTCAGAACCAAGTTAATCTTCAGAACCAAGAAGAAAAGCTAAAAAAGGTGGATGCATTAGTGAAGTATCCCCATAATTAAACTTAATTATTAGGATAGTTAAAAGGTCCAGTGTGTAACATTTAGGAGGATCTATTTCTTTATTTCTTTATGTAAGTCTATGAGTCAAAGAGGAGATGAATACGTGTATTACTTACTGCCCCAGACAGGAATGCTCCTGCTCTCCAGTTTAGTGACTATGGAGCACATGGTCATGGTGACTGGGATGGCATCAAAGTAGGAGGAGTGTGGTGCCACGGTGAGGATGGGAACTTCAGAGGACGCCGCCCGTTCCCCTTTCACCTTGATCCAATGGAAACCTCCGCAAAACCACATGGCTCGCATGATCACCCGTAGACACAGGTCTATAAACCTGATAAAGGACACACTGTTTTATATACAGTAGCCCCAAAAATGACATGTTGCTTTGATCTAATCTGTCTCATTTCAAATCGATTTACATTACTAGAGAAATGAAATCAGCAGACACCAATAAACAATCAGCAGATACAAGACTGTGGCTGACAGAGGGCTTGTTTGTTTAGCTCCCATATCATTTTCACACATTTCTGTGTAATCCCATATGTTTTAGTAACACATACATGCTTTAACACTTTCCTACACACACAAATATCCACCACACACACCTCCTCCACCATGACTGTGGCTCAAAGACGAACTCAGAGCGTCCCAGGGAGGCTGTGAAGGCGAAGGGCCACGCCAGCAGCATGAAGAAGGACACCAGCAACAGCCGCACTGGAAACACCGTAACAGACATCAGTCCTATCTGAAGAGAGAGAGGGGGAGATACGAACAGTCGCATTGTTACCATTCCACTGAACCATTTCTCACTGTACCATCATTTCAACATTCCTAACTGTCACAATTATTACCATACATTCCTATACTGAAGCCTAATATGCCTGCACGTCCTACAGGGTCGGAAGAAGCACATTCCATGTGTGCCTTCAGGAAGGACCAAACAGCCATCCTTCAATCACACTGACAGTCATGCTCTAATCACACGTTCCTGGTTAGCAATCCCTCAAGCTTACAGGCTTAATATGCACCCAAATCAGTATATATCAACATTAGTTACATGCTGTTGCAGGGGAAATATATATTAGACTGTGTTTTAATCTAAAGATAAATAAACAGCAAATCAAAGATCCTTAAATATATGTTTACATGCAGTGATGTGTCTTAATTATCACTAGCTGATTCCGTATTGATTCAGAGCTCCACATAGCTCTGCAGCAGACTAACCTCCACATAGATGCTATTATAAAAAGAGTAAATCAAGATCTGAGCGGAAGTCCAAAGACTGTCCTTTTCAGGAAAAAAACTGCACCTTTTTCCAGATTACAGTAATATTGTGTATCTTAATACTATTAGGTCCCATCTTTTATCTTTAATGTTACTTATGATTGCTTTTCTGGGTTTTTTGTGATCTTTTTGTGACCAACTCTTAGACAAAAACACTTTCCCGCTCTCCAGTAGGGATGGGACAATATTATCGCACATCAATATAAAAAAATCTATATACCAGTGGACAAGTCTGTCATGGTGAATTTCCATTATCAGGATAATTGTGAATATTCTCATGTGTGACTTGAAAAAGCTTTCTAGCTCGCTAGCGTTACAGTGGTTTGTTTGTTTTTATAACTGTCACAAGGCGAGGCCAGCATTTAAAAGCTTAAAAGTTAAACTGGTTATGTGGAAATGCATCCTGGAGATGAGGTGCCTCTCTGAGATGCAATCAAAATATCTGTTCCTTAACTAAATGTAAAGTAAAGTGATTCCATTATGTTTTTGATAATTATTGTGATAATATTATGAATTCATAATCGAGACATTAACTTTTCATATTGTCCCATGCTTATTTTCCAGTACCAACCTATCCCATCCTCATGCCCATCAACTTCCACTGAAACGCTTGTTAAAGTTAGTTGTAATTATTATAAGGAAGTCCTTTCATTTCTTGTTCCAAGGTTAAGAGGTTAATGTTCAAGGAAATCATTTACATAACCTGCTTCGATGTATCACAGATATGCATATACTGGACATACATGGATATATCACTGGTCTCTACATGTATTCATAAAGGAACATTTTATATACATATAAATACATACATATATATTATATTTCAAATAAAAAGGAAGGAAGACTCTAGAGCTTTAGTCGGGCAATATCTCTGCATGACAATGGCCATTCTTTTATTTATTGAGAGTGTGGTGTTTCCAGCGGCAGAAACCACCAGCCTTTAAGCGACAGTGAGACCAGCTACAGGAAGAAGTCTGCGGTGTATGTTCAGCTCCAGTGCTGAGATAGTGGGATCCTCAACAGGGCGGGGAGGGCAGCAGAAACACTTTGACAGGAATGTTGAACCTCCAGGCAGTTCCAGCCCATGTAGATTTATTTTTAAAAGCCTGTCTCACAGCCATCATTGTGACATGTACACGTGTCCTAATTTGTCTTTAAATGCCAGAGGAAAATGTTTTTTGTTTTATAATCTGGCTTATTATAAGTCTTCTTTTCTGTGTATATTTCTCTGTGAGCACCACCAAATAGTTAAATAATAAAATAAATAAAATGATTGGCCAGGAGCCTCTTGATAAGGACGATGCATGCCAGGAGGTTTGTCCAGAAATGTAGGGGTTTGCTGACCGTTATGACAGTATTATCAGACAATGGCTTTGGCTTTTGCATAACACCAGTTAGGTTTTACTGTATAAATAGAAAGGTTGAAAATAAGATAAGGTAACTCTGCAAACAGTGTAGTTCAGCTACGTTCAGTCTGAGGTCATACAGTACAGTTTCAGTCCCGTCACTGAAATAAAGTGTGCTGAAGCGTGCCACAGTAGTCTTCTGACTGACCTGTCATGCCTTTTCTCTTACCGTGTAATGAGAGAGATGTGCTGTGTTTGTGTGCGCGTGTGTGCGCGTGTGTGCGCGTCTACTAACAAGGTTACAAAGTCACGGCCTCCAGTGTAAATTCAGACTGTGTGACATTTTAAGCCCCATCCTCCCCCTTGTGCGACCTCTGGGCAATCTCTTCATCCCGCACTTTCATTGCGCTCCCTCGCTCCCCTCTCATCAACCTCCCTGCCCTGCCTTACGGTAATCTCTGATCCCGGAGGAATTCCTCTCCTCAACTACCCATCCATCCATCAATCTTTAACTCCCCATGTATATTTGCTCAGCTGCACCTTCATGTATCATGCTGCACTCCCTTCAACTGTTTTCCTCCTACTTTGCATTGATGTGCTTTTTGTGACCCCTCTGGGGAATCATATCTAACCCCCTCCCTTCCTGTCCCATCTTTCCTTTCTTTCCTGTGTGTTTCTCTCTCTGGAGGAGCCCAGGTGCACACTGCAGGGCTGTATTAATAAATAAACAGTAATGTGGGTGATTTATGATGCTCTAACGCCTCTCCCTGCCTCACCACCCCCATGGCTGACGCACAGCGCACTCATCATCAGAGCTTAACGAATCCATCTGGGAGGATCTGCTGACATTTTCTCAGGAGGTGGCATGAAAATGAGTTGGGGCGGGGTAGAGGAGAGCAATTCTTAGTGTTTTATGATAGCACCGGCCCATCTACCACTGATGATTGAAATTTGCTTTAAAGATATCCTCCTGCAGTCCTGGGACTTGTACCACACATTCAAACTCTAATATAAATGGAGCCTAGAAGTCTTATTCTCTGAGTGCTATCATTTCTTACTGTTACTTATCCAAACATAGCACTGAGCCCTCAAAAGCCTTTTCTTATATACAAAGAACTGATTATTCCACGCATTCTTTTTTATTGTCAAAACCAGGTGCCTGCATTACCCACAATGCAACTCGACTTCTGGCGGAAATTTAGGTGTGTTATGCTAGTGGTGGCTAATGTAGCCTCGAGCTGAGAGATGAGGAGCGGGCTACAGAGGTCTCGTAAGGTCACTTCCTTCTAACTCCACAACCCTATTTTTTTTTCCCCCCCGACGCTGACTCAAGTGACATCATTTAAGGCAATTTATCAGATTTCATTCAGCTCCCTTTGGAGCCACAAATACAACCTTTTCCACATATGAAATACTACTTCAAACAAAACGAATACTTCTACCCTCAGTCAATGAATCTGTCTGCAGATTTTTTTTGTAAAGTAGTCCACCATTTTTAAGATTCAGTTCAATATTGTTATTAAACAAACAAAGTCTTTGTCAGTCCACCAGGAAAAAAACAAGGCAGAGATGGTGATATGATCAGCCATTGACTCGTTTAGACAAATGCAACACCTAATTACAGATTAAAAACATTTTCAAAATAATGATTATAACTTATTTGTGTCATTATCTATTTTTTTATGTATAATTTAATTCAATATTAAGTATTTTGTGGGTCCACATGGTTAACGTAGTTAAAGATTAGTTATGATGAAAAGTCACCAGATACCAGATTTTGGGGATAATTTTACTTTAATTTGAATTACAGAGGATAAAAGTAATAACTTTGT